ATCCAAAGTTAACATCATAAAAAAATACCTGTTGTTTATGAACCTCTATACCCCACCCCACTTTAACCAACTTCCCCAAAAAATAAAGTAATTAAAGGCATGAATACTAAAGTATACAAAAACAAATCTGTGAATAAAAAATACTCAAAGTTAACATCATGAAAAATATTCCCCATTACTTACTTATGAAGCTCTATACCCCACCTAGCTCCACTTTAACCACAATCCCCAAAAATTAAAGCAATACAAGCGTACCATGCCTAAAGATTACAAGTTTTGTGAATCGAAGTCAACACACACTCAGTTATGAATCAAAATTAGGGAAAATCAACATCTAAGGATCAAAATAAATTAGGGTAAACAACACATACCTAATCTAGTAATGGTGTTCGCGATATGATGGTGAAATTGATGATGAAACCCTAGTTCAATCCAATCAACCACGGCGAGAGAGAAGATAGAGAGAGAGAGAGAGAGAGAGAGAGAGAGAGAGAGAGCAAATAAAGATATGAATACTGGTGTTAGTCAAATGAACGAAACTACTGACTAGGGGCATTCTTGACTTTTTACAACTTCTGTTACGTCCATTGGATTTTGCACTCTGGTATGAAGTATAGAGGTTTAACTGTTACAAATGAAACTATAGGGGGGGCTCCGTGTTTTTTAGGCAAACCACAGGGGGTTAAATTATAATTTACCCAAACTAAAAATTAGAGAGTGTAAAGAATTTAGGTAGATGCTAATAATAACACTCTTTACCATAGCCAAAAGAATTTTTTATTTTATTTTTATTTTTTGGTAGAAAGGAGATTCATAGATTAAGAACTAGATATAAAGTCTCTTACAGATCTGGGATATGAAGAGAAATGTTTGTGTAACAATCTTGACCCATGATTAACGTTAATTCATGCTTGATTATGCTTAATAAATAATTGAAGTGAAATGTTGCATCATATATTGCCTTATGTGTGTATATATCTGTTTAACATAGAAAGATATGTTCATGTTTTCATTTCGATTTGTGAGTTGAAGGCCTTATCGGCATCCGATTCAGAAATTGACTTGATTTATGTATAATTGGAATTTTTAGAATTTTATGGTGGGTTTTGTTGAAATTCGTTTCGAAACGATTAAATTAGAGTAATAAGTTCTCAATTAAGACTAATTAATGAATTCCTTAAATCCAAGCCTAACTAAGGCACTAGTGGACTCTTATATGCACCCATACACACTCTCATTTCATTCTTTTTGAGCTACAAATGTGAGGAAAGGGAGAGACACCAAAAGTGAGAGTGAGTTTAACAAGGTAACTTGCAAGAAATTGTTGAGAGTGAAGAGGATTTGAGAGTTTCAACTTTAACACTTGTGAACTCAAGTCTCTAGGTAAGAATTTTATCCTTAAAACTTGAAATCTAGATTATAATGCATGAACACAAGAGAATTATGTTGATTGATGTAAAAATTGAGTTAGAAATGAAAAGCATTGAGCCATACCATGAATGCATGCATATTTTCTCACATTTTGAGTTTAATTTCCAAGAATTCCCTTATGCATGTCTTGAATTCACCTTTATTTTGGGAAATGATCCAGTTTCATGTTGTTTTGTAGCATTTGATCATGTTTTGAGAAGCTTAAGTTCAAAGAAATTCATGCATGTCATGTTCATGGAACATACATAAATTTTAAGTTGAATTTTTGCACAATTGGCAAACTATTTGGCCATGATTTCTTAAAAAGATCCTTAATTCGTGATGTATTATGAGTTTCTACGTGTTCCTCAAGTTTTGGACCAGAAAAATCAAGCTTTGATACTTAAAAATTGAGTTTTGAGCTTTGGAAGCAAATCTAGAAATTCCAGAATGCTGCTTCTACACTCAAGCGTAAGAGTCCACGCTCGAACGACCACTCTGAGTGCGTGCACTTCCACTCGAGTGACCATAAGTCCACTCGAGTGTGAAATGCAAGCTCCCAGAAGTTCATGTATTTTTGCAGATCGCTCGAGCGACAAGAGTCACGCTCGAGCGATGATCGAGCGTCTGTCGAGCGTGAAAAACAAGCAACCAGTACTTTTTCAAAATTTACAGACCGCTCGAGCGAATAAAGTTATGCTTGAGCGAACCCTCACGTTTTACATGTTCGTTCAAGCGAGGAAAGCCACTCTCGAGCGTAGACCCTGTTTTCAGCAAGTTTTGAAAAATATTTTCAAGTATATTTTTGCATCCTCATTCCATCCTAGGCCAAGATTTAGACTTCATAATGAGGATAAAGACTAGAAACACACTAAGAACAATGAAATAAGTTGTGTATACTCCGAGCGTGTGTTTCAATGTATGTATTTGTTATGTTATGTAGGTCACGCGCCGCAAGGCATCTGAATTGCTTATTATGTCTGTTTATGTTGGAGCCTCTGTTATCTGTGAGTAATAACTTTGTAAAGTTATGTTCAATTATAAATATTTTCTGAATGATATAAGATGATCTGTTTTATGAAATATTATTTTCTGCATGAATAAATGGTTATCCAATGTTTCTGAAATGTATTCGTGGCATCATTAGCTTCAGATGACATTTGTTATCTATTCTGTTATGTCCCAATTATAGGTTAACTGTACGTCTCATGAGCTAACTGTTATGGATCCTTATGTATACGTCCTATTTATGGGCCAATTGTACGTCTCATGAGCCAACTGTATCGTCTCCGTGCACGTGAGGCAACTGTATGCCTTTATAGTTGTCCCTTTATTGCCTTTATGGCCATCCCTTTATGGGTCAACTGTTCCTGCTAGTGCTAATGAATGTGCCACGTATGATTAACTGCAAGTTCTAATTATGAATACGACTTTGAAACTGTATCTGTTATGTATTATGATTTTTGAACATAATTACGAATTCATTTCTGACAACTATTGAATTCGATTTTCTGTAACTGTTATGGATAACATTCATTAAACCTCTTTACTCTGTTATTATTCACTAGGCTCCAGCTCACTATTTATATTATGTATGTAGGCAAGCAAGCACGTAACCAGGCCCAGAGTTGATGGCCTATGTTTTTGTTTTGTCAGCCAACTACCGTGCTTCCTGAGGAGGTTCCTTTTGAGAGTATTATGTCAAGGTTTTAGTTGAGCTTGTTTTTGTATATCTGTACTTGGGCTAAGTATCATTTGACTCTATCTGTGTAATTGGGTGACGTAAAACTAATGTATTTTTGACGTCATATCTGTATATATATAAGTTTGTTTTGAAAATTTCTGTTCCATGCATGTTTGCACAGTTCTATGGACTATGTTAATTTTGTATATTTGCTTCCGCAGCCACTATCTTATGTTATCCTGTTCAGAAGCCTTTGATAATTCAAGAATTACTGGCCGGTTACAACGCTAAACCCATAGGGGCAGGTTTGAGTCGTGACAGTTTGGGACCTCTTTTTGTGGGGGTTCTATAATCCCTAATTTGATCTTGGTCCTTGATGTGTGTATGTGGTCTACTCATATATGTGTGAGCCTCACATTATGAGTGATTGGGATGAGAATGAGAATTGTGAGGGTCATATGTGTGTGGGGATCTCTATTACAATTGGGATATGAAATACCAAAAGAAATTTGTTGCTTTATGAAATACCTCTCTCTCATATACAAGACTATGGGTAGTTTGGTCAAACTCCCGGCTTGGTTAAGTTTTTCAAAAATATATTTTAGTTAAAAAAATTAAAAATAAATAAATTAAAATTTGAAGAATATATTTTTGTGTGTGTTTATTTTTATCAAATTAATTTATAATTTTTTAAAAAAATTAAAATTGTTTAGAAATTACTTATTTGGTTTTTTTTTTTCGTGTGCGTGCGCGTGCTTATTTTCATTTTTAATGATTTTTTAAAAAAAAAAATTAAAAAGTTTAAGTTTTTAGATTTAACTCAACCAAATGAACTAGAATTTTTTTTAAAAAAAAATCAAAAAAATATCTAGAAAATGATTTTTGATTTTTTTTAATACTTATTTTAACTTTTTAAATTTTCTTTTAGAATTTTTCAAAAAGAAATTTACTTTTTATAAAAAAAATGACAATTTTAAAAATAAAAATTCCCTAAAAATAAACAAATAATAATAATACCAAAAAGGACGAGTATTCCCTCCTGTCTAAATTTTGGACTGAAAGGTATTGTTTGGATTTGTAAGATCTATCATGGGTCTCATTTCAATAATCCAAAATCTAAAAAAAATTAAATCGATTTAATAATTATAACTTGTTCAATTTTTCACTAAAAAAATAGACAATAATTGTGGTTTTAAAAATAAATCATATATTTTTTTAGTGACAAATACAATAAATTAAATAAGTTATAATTTTCAAATTGATCTAATATTTATTTAAATAAAATCTGAGGTTTGTATTTTCATAACAATTTGCCCCCTGAGGTTTATATTTCATAACAAATTACCCCCTAATTTCTTATACAAATATAGCATTCAGGGGAAAATTCGTAATTTCTCAAACCTCAGGGGCATCTGTAATTTAGCCAAACCTCGAGGGGTGTATATGTAATTTGCCCTAAAAAAAAAACACGAAACGGTGGCATTTTTAGACACCCAAGTTGTCACTGGGAGGGAAATCAACCAAACAAATAGACACATGGAGCGTAATAACCCTAGGTTTGGGATGTGAATTAGTTTTTTGATTTTTTAATTTTTTAATAATTTTTTTATTATTTTGGTTTTTATTATTTTTTATAATATTTTATTTTATTAATTTTTAATTTATTTTTTTAAAAAAATTAAGGGCAAGTTTGACATGATTGAAAAAAGATAAAAAGTCAATAAGTCACTATCCTATTTAAGTCACATCATCTTATTTAAATCATATCACCTCTCTAACACATCACTTCAAACCCAACCCATATTTCATAAAAAGTCAAAAAATACACTTATTAATCTTCCCAAACTAGGCCTAAATTAAAAATAGCCGAGTAACTCAGGTCAAACGTAGCCTAAATTGCCTTATAAAAGCTGGTGTCTTCGGAGGAGAAGAAAAGCTTTTGCTTATTTCCTACTTCTTCTCGAGTTCTTCAATCGGATCGGATTATCCGAATCCGAGTAGTAGTAAAAATGGTTTCGGATTCGGAGCTGGTGAATCGGCTCTGGGATGTGCTCCAGACCTCCGACCTCAACACCACCACCGCCGGCTCCGTCCGGCGCACCCTGGAGTCGGAGTTCGGCGTCGACTTGTCTGACCGCAAAGCCTTCATCCGAGACCAAATCGATTCTTTCCTCGAGACCCGTGTTCAGAGGACCCACAACAACGCTGTCGCTGTGGAAGAAGAAGAAGAAGAAGAAGAAGCGATTCACGAGGAAGCTTCAGAGACTCTGAAACTTGAAGACAACAAGTCTGAGTCCGAAGAAGAAGTAGAAAGTGATGGACAGAGAAGCAAGAAACGAAGGTCAGGTTTTCCTTTTTCTCTTAGCATTTTCATTTCCCCCTGTTTGGTTGCACAGAAAAGAAATCAAAATATTTGCTAATTGAATTTTTCACAGTTTTTGTTGTCCTGTTAATATAATAATTTCTGGGGTGACAAATGTGGGTTTAAATATTTGTTTGGGATTTTTTGGGATAAACTCCAACAAGTTTAAATTAAATTCATTAGAGTGGTTGTGAAGAGTAAGTTTGACTTCTTTAATCAATATATATATATATATATATAGCCAGCCAAATCTATGCATATGGTGATTGTTCTTGTTACTGCATGATTGATTGACGGTGTGTTTGGGTGGGGATTTGGGAAGGTATTTGGAAAGAGAAAGAAAAAATGCGCTTAAATCTCTTTCCAAATCCCTCAACCAAACATAACATAAAAGTTTGATTCAAAATTGGGAAATTGTTTATAATAGCACAATTTGATTTCATAGGTGATATAAGTTTTTACTCTTTTTTTTTTTTTTTGGCATGTTTTAAAATTCTTCCTACTTTTGGAATGTACTTTTGTTACCAAATTTTGATGTTCTTGTGTGGATATTAGCCTTGAACTTGTTACTCATGTGGTTGTTTAAAATGTATGAAGAAATAAATTTAAGGGCACCTGTCTGCATTTAAATGTCTCATTTATTCTTTGAAGTGGCTACCAACCACAAAAAGATTAAAAAAGATAAAAAGATAAAATGAAAAGAAAGAATTCATGCTTTTAGAGTTCGCCCTCATACTGTGTTTTGATTACATGCTCAACCAATTATGAATTTCTTATGTATTGGATATGTGGGGAAATAACCTTTGGCACATGTTGCAGGTTCTAGAATTGTAAATGCACTTTTTGTCAGATATTGACATTATCATACTCTAGAGTTGCTTTTGCTTGTTTTTTTGTTTTTATTTTTAAAATTTTAATGGAGTGTGTTACTCACTTGCTATGAAACACTAGTACTTCAAAAATGTGTGTGGACACTATTAAATTAAAACTTGAGAATTCAGATTTAGATAATCTCCTCTTCATGAGAAAGATATCATGTAAGTGTGTCTGTGTACTTGTTAAAAAAAGTGTGTTTGAGAGAGAGAGAGAGAGAGAGAGAGATGATCATGATCATGATGCTTTATGTTTTGCCACGTTTCATGTCATGGTCAACTATTTTCATGGAATGGGGCAAAAAATCATCGGCGGAATGAATGCAACTGAGTTGTTTTTATTTAGCATCATCATCATAGAACTTGAATTGGGTTCTGAAAATACTTTTTATAATTTGCTATGAAGTCATTGCAAGGATTACTGAGGCAGTTGCTTTAAATTCCCCTCAATCCGTCCATGATTGATGATCCTTAAATGCAATTAGATGTTTATGAGAATACTGTAGTTACTATATGTTGTGAAATGAATGAACTTTCATTTATTATTCAAAATATGTTATCATTGGGAAGAAATTGCTCTCTTTATATGGTAATTGTAATTGATATTTGTAAATATATTTATCTTGTCTAGTAGGTCTGACAAAGTGGATAATGTTGTAAAGAAAAGAGGCGGAGGCTTTAACAAACCATGTGGTCTTTCTCCACAACTTCAAAAACTTGTTGGAGTGCCTGAATTAGCAAGGCCTGAGGTATATAACAATGTTCTGATTTTATATATATTTATATTGTTAATTCATATTGAATTGGACAGAGTTTTTGCAATGAGAATTCCAGTTATATATTTTTTCCCTGCCCTATAGGTTGTGAAGAAAATTTGGGCCCATATTCGTGAGAAAGATTTGCAAGATCCAAAGAACAGGCGGAAAATTTTATGTGATGAAGCATTGCGTGCCATTTTTCGTGTTAATTCTATTGATATGTTTCAAATGAATAAAGTGTTGTCCAAGCACATATGGCCGATAGACGAGGAAGACGGTATGCCTTTGGACAAGCTATCTTTTTAGGTTTATGACACATCAACATACTTCATGTTTCACCGTTCAAATTTGTGACAATTTGGTCTGGTCAAGGATGTCATAAAACTTAAGAGTTTCTTTTGATTTGTGGATTTAATGAAGGGAAGGAAAATACAAAGGCAATATTTTCCCTTGTTTAGTTACCATGAAAAACTGGGGGGATAGACAATATGTGGGAAAACAGGTTTTTTTTTTGTCAATTTAGTTTTTCATATTTGATGTCATGTTCCCTTTTCTTGATTTTCAACCCTTTATGAGAAAATTTTAATTTCAAGTTTTATTCAAGTAGAATACAAAATATGAGGAAAATCAGTTTCCTTTTCTCTTTTCCTTTTCCTACCATATCTAAGAGCCATCAGATAAATGGTTAAAGTCCCTGAGCCATAGGAACAATGATAAAACATTATTCTTGTGGGATTTATGCAATTTTTGGGGTTATTTGGTTGGAGCGTAATGCTAGGACCTTTTATGATTTGTTTGGGTGGTGGACTCACATACATGAGATATAAATCTTGGGCTTTGTAATTCTGAATTATTCGCAGTTGATAAAATTCGACATTTTATCAGTTGATGATAAGATGTAATCATATCATATTTGAACCTATATATGATAGGATGGTGTATCTCTCAACCATTAGAGTGGAAGACTGTGGGTTTATATATTGATGTGCTTAGAATACATTGAATGGATAGTCATAAGAATCACGTCATTCAAAAATAAGTGTCAACCTTCTTGTGAATCTTACAATGCTATGTGCATTGGACTGTTAATCCTGAGAGAATAACGAACTCAAGCTTCTCGTATTGGTCACTTTGATTATCAATGAGTGTGGTCTATAAAAGATCAACACATTGGTAACTTAGGTAACTCATAGTGGCATGTGTATATTTTGATTTCACCACAGCCTCGGTTAATTTTTCTCTTATAATTTTGTTCTATGTTTACACATTCAGGGATTTTTTTCATATTTTTTTGAAACTCACTAGCTTTGTTATTGCCTGAGCTTTTAGCAAGAAGAAATTAGCTGCTTTTGTAGGTTAAGACTTCCATGGAGTACTCAAGGTCCCATATAAATCGATTCTAGCACTCAAATTAGGATACACATGTAGTTCAACTGTCTGACATCTATTCTTCTCTTCTTTTCTTTTTTTTCCTCCCACACTGACTAAAATAAAGTGTCTATTTAACAGAGCATGTTCAACATGGATAACCCTTTTATTTGGGCAACTTATAAATATTTAAGTAGTATCCATGGGATACCTGGTGGATCACGTCAAGTTCATTTCTAAAACATGAATGTTCATGTTTCCAACAAGATATTCTGACATATTTGAAAGTGATGCTCATCTACATATTGCATTTCATTTATCAAATATCTTTCACGTGATACTTAATGAAAAGGTTCCTACATGATGTTGCAGTTCCTGTCAAATCAAGACAAAAGGAAAAGCAGAGCAAACGAGGTAGAGAAGGTGAAAACAGAAATTTAAGTTTTAAAGGTTTTACCTGGGTGGATTGTATAAAGCTGATAACATTGTTGATTGTAATTTCTCTACAGCTTGACCTGCCTTTTAACACTGACCTCATGACAGTCTGATAAGTGCATAGCATGCATGAATAAATTTGAGAATAAACTCCAGAGGTTTTATGCCATTTGTTAGTGACTTCTGTTTGCATGTTTTTTACCATTCAGGTCCAAATGAGCCAGATCGGAAAGTAAAACAGCAGAAGGGAAAAAAAGGTTCTGGTTTTCTTGCTCCACTCCCACTGTCGGATGCTCTAGTGAACTTCTTTGGTACAGGTGAAAGTGAATTATCCCGGGCCGATGTTGTGAAGAGAATGTGGGAGTATATAAAGAAAAATGATTTGCAGGTATACCCGACAAATTTAACATCTCGTCAGATTCATGCATGATGCGATTTTCATGAATCAGTTATTTCACTTGATGAGCATCTGAACCTCCCCCAAAATTAATAGCATTGGTGAATGAATAAGCTCTCACGAAGAAGTTGGCTCTGTCCTTTCATTAACCAATCCAAACAAGCCCATATCTGCCTTGAGCTTTTAGCTTAGTTGTTTAGCGAGTAAACATTTGCAACAAGGTCAAGGTGAATGTCAGATATCACTAACAGAAGCTTAATGTGAAAGAGCTGGAGCTCCTCTAAGCTGACATTGACAAATCTCGAGTAGGGTAGTTGGATTTGTATGAAGCATTTGTCAGCTTGGAGCTTGATAATCCACTCTCTTTGTGTTGGCTTGTTTAGGCCTTTAAAATGAATACCTTTCATTCTATTATTTTATGGGCCCTTTTTCTTTATTATATATTTAATTAATTGCTTTATTTCTTTGAAAATGTGGTTTCTTTGCTTTAGGTGTCGTATGTTAGATAAGTTTTTTTTTTTTTTTTTTAACATTCCACTATAAATTGTTGGTGACTAAAATTCTGCCATCTGAATTCTCTTGTTGCTTGCCTTTTAAAGGATCCATCTGATAAGAGGAGAATTTTATGTGACGAAAAGCTGAAAGAGCTATTCGAGGTTGATTCCTTCCACGGCTTCACAGTTTCAAAGCTTCTGGCCGCTCATTTCATCAAGGCCGAACAATGAAAGTATTGTATCTTCAAGGTGAATGTAGTCAATACAGTACAAAACATTTTGTAGTTTGTATATTTTGCAGATTAGTAAATGGAAATAGGATTCGAAAAAATTAAACCCTATTGTTTCTCTCAGTATACCTCGTAACATTCTTTTGAATATACAAACCAGCATTTCTAATCATGTAAAAGAATGTTATGAGGTATACTGAGAGAAACAATAGGGTTTAGCCAAACTTTATGTTTGTATATTGTTTCTCTCAGTATATTAAACAATAGAATTTAACTCATGTTTAATTTTGGCTACTCATTACTCAAGCCAAACTTATGTTGAGTTTACAAACTCAAGACAATACTGGTTTGAGTATCCAAAACCGTTTGAATCAACCAGCAGAGGAATCTGAAACAATAGGGTTTAGCCAGATTAATTTGTATTGTCTTGAGTTTGTATATTCAAAACTGTAGTTAAAACAAGATTTGCATAAAATCTGGAACTGTCTTAAGCTATAGCCAAACTTACAAAAAAAAAAAAAGTATACGAATGCGCTGGTTTGATATGGAAAAGTTTATTCTTAAGACAATATATATGCATTTAAAAAAGTAAAAAACATGTACAATGGTGTGATGATAAAAGTTTTGAATTGTACAAGCCATCTTCACAAGTGTTCTATTGTAAAATGAATGACACAGTCCAACCATTAAAAATTTTACATAAATTTTTTATTTGTATAACATTAATGCATTATAGTGATAATATACATAAAATAAAATTTTAAAAAAATATGCTTACTTTTTTTTTTAAGTAAAAAAATAATGTTGCTCAATGCACACTTTCATTTAAAACAAAATAACCATAAAGATGCTATTTATTTATAAAATTGATATTTTAATTATTATTGTGTTATTTTTTTTGTGTAAAAAAGATTTGGTAAAAATTTAATGACATTTGTGGGGGCATTATTGGCAATAGCGAGGGGAAGAAGGGAGAATCATCATGGTGTGTGAGTGGGTGGAAAGGACAATGATGCACCACAACCCTTTTTGTTTTTTTTTATTTATTCACTCTTTCTTCCTCTTGGAGATGGATGGATAGAAATGGAGTCTGATTTTTGTTCATTGTTTTTACTCTTTTAATTGTTTTACCGCATGCCTTTTACTTTATTTATTTAATTTTTTATCTCTTGGACATGGGTGATTAGAAATGGAGTCCCATTTTTGTTATTTTTCACCTATTTAAGTAATTTATTTTTGGGGCATGTTTTATTGTGAATTTGCGATGATTGTTGTGTCCTATGCATGACCCTTTTCCAACATGATTTGAATTATTTATTTTGTGAAATTTATTAAAATTATTTATATAAAAAATAAAATTGATCAAATATTAATAATCATAAGATCAAAACATAGAGAGAGTTTTGATAGCTTCCTTTCTAGGAATTTTCGGCAGTACTCTGGCAACCTCCTTTACACTTCTAAAATATAGATTTACACTCCTAGAGTATAGATCTGTAATTCTAGAGGGTAGATTTAGGCCTGGTTTGAGAACTTTAAAAAAAATCAAAAAATTACTAAAAAAATTAAAAAGTTATCACTATTCACAAAAAAAATATAAAAAAATTAATATATATAATATTAAAATACAAATCAACTGCACGCCACTCTAGGTACCAACGTGAAAGTAAAGGCAGTGAAAGGGGCAAAAAAAAAATTACATGTGTATGTTCACTAAGTTGGATAGTAAAGTTGGGCCCGTTGAGGCCTACTATGGGTCCCGTTTTAATAATCCGAACCGTTCATATGTAGAACTCGTCTAGTACTATATGTCTGTAAAAAATCACGTCTATTGGATATCGCTAACTATATGATCAAATCAGTTTTGTATAAAAAATGGATGGTGTTATAGTTACTAGTTGACAAAAAAAACTAACACGATCAGATAGCTATCGATATCCAATCAACGTGATTTTTTACAAGCATATAGTACTCGACGAATTCTACACATTGAACAGTTTCGATTAGAAAAACGAGACCCGTGGTGGGCCCCCACAGGCCGAACAACACCGTCCAATTAAAGCCCGAAAAGGAGGCAATCTTTCTCATCTCCTACCTAGCCGACTATACTACCCAACCTGTACGGCTACTTCACTACCTTCTCCAACACACTTATTTATACAATTTTTTAATACACATTTTTTCATAAAAAGTCAAAAAGTTAATCTAAACATTCATATTTTTTTCCTCAACTTTTTAGTTCAAAACGATAAAAAGTGCACTTATTTAGGACACCCCAAATAATCCCTTAGACTTTTATGTCTGGAATAGCGGTTTTGAGTGTTTTTCTCCCGATTTCGACATAATTTTTTAGACTTTCAACATACATAATGGTTCATTCTCCTCTCAAGCCTTCTCTCATACCATTGTAGGTGTTCAACTCTAGTTTTTGGCAGTGTCCGACGTACAATGATAGTGGCGGTGGAGTTGGACAACGGCGACAAGGACGACGGCAATGGCGATAACAGGTGTTGATGCAAATATTGCTTGGTTTGATACAGATCTAGCTTTTCAAATTATATCTATGAGAAGATCAATGATTTTTCCTGACTCATAGCTAATTTTTTGACGAATTTATTTTTGTTGTTTTGTAGTTTGTTGTTTGGTTGTTTGTTTGGCCTTTTAAAATCTTTTTGTTTTTCTTTTTAATCTGTATGTTGTTTATTATAAAAAATATATATATATATTTTGTGTATCGATTGATCATGTGGCTATTGGTGTCAAATTAATCTAATTGTTTACATGAATGATATGTTTAACATGTTTTACAATATGAATGGTATAGATTATCTCGATGAGTTTAAGTGCACCCCATCGAGGGGCACAATAGGCTCAGGCTTCATTTGGGAAGCCAAGTTTGGGGCTTTTTGGGTTATTTTAACTACAAAAAGTAAAATAGATTTTTTAGTCAAATAAGACAAAACATTACATCCAACGCATAATCATTACATTCTTCCTTTCACAAGAATGCCAAAAAAGCCAAAAGCTCTTCTCTAGCGAGGTTTTTTTAGCCCCGAGCTAAAATAGTCATAAAAATTAAAAAGTCAAAAAATAAAAAAATCAATCCACCTCCCAAACGAACCCTTAGTGTGCATTCTAGTACAAGCATCCCATTTATAATTTAAAATTTACTGTTACACTAGTGAGAATGAATTTGTAATTTCGAACCTCTATGACTTCAATATTTGAAACATATTAGAAAAGGAAAATGAATCTTGATTACATATTCCGACATAAATCCCATTTCAAAATTAAGTAATTTTTTCACTTCCCTATCATAATCTTATATTTATAGAAAAATCTTAACCATTTAAGAGTAAATATTAACTAGGTCTACAATATTTAAAATTTTATCATTTTTCATTAAAAAAAATCTTTAAAAATCCAAGCACTCAATATAGATTTTATCATTAGTAATAAGATTCTCAATTCTCTCAAAATTCATGACATCCTAGCATAATTTTGAAGTTCATTGTTTGAAGAAATCAATTAAGGAGGCCAAAATTACTCACTTACATAAAGGTAAGTGAACAAATTTTGGTAGAAATTACAAACCCCAAAAAAAAATGCTCTTTTAATGAAATAAATTTTAAATTTTATCAATTAAATCCAATCGTTTTACTTGTTTTTAATTTAAAGCATCAGCCTATTTCCACTAAATAAAATATCGTTCAATGTGTTTGGTTTCAATTTTCTGAATTTAGTTTTTTTAAAATTGAGGTTTTTTGTTTTTCGCATTTTTTTATTTTTAGTGAATATTTTTTAAATTTTAAGCATTTTTTTTTTTACTTTTTTAAATGCATCTTACTTAAATGAATCTAAATAGTAAAATATTTGAGAAAAAATATTTTAAAAAATTAATAGATACACAAAAATACAAAAAAATGTACTGAACTTTTGTTTTTTTTTTATTTATATTTTTTGATATTTAGTATATTTTTTAAAGATTTTTTTCACAAATATTATACTTTTTAAGTGTATTTATGCTAAGTGTGTCTAAAAATTTAAGAAAAAATTACTTATAATATTAAAAAAAATTATTAAAAACATTAAAATACGAAAAATAAAAAAGTACAATTTTCTGAAAACCAGAACCAAACAAAATGATTGAGTTTAATGACTAAATTTTAGAAAATACTAGGGATTTAATATTTTACCAATATTTTTACTAAATGTCTCATATAAATCACACCCATATAAGACATTTAGTAAAAATGTTAGTAAAATATTTGAGGTTCCTAATATTATTTATTATTGATTTTACTTAATAAAAATAAGTTGATAATTTAAATTAAAAATATTTAAAATTTTAAATTGATAAAATTAAAAATAAAAAAAAATCTGTTGATAATGTCACGTAACAAAAAAATCAAAAAATTAATTGAAAAACATAAGAGACAAGGTTTGAATAATGTGACAGGTGAGAGTGAGACTACCCAATAAAGGAGTAAATGATAGAAATAGGTAATGTTAGGTTCTTAAAAAAAAATATCATAAAATGTTGGATAAGGGGTCACTGCTGTGCGTGAGGCATAGCAGTGACTGTGGTGCATCCATTTGAGGTATATTATGGCTTTATTTTTATTATTCAAACCGTCCATTTTGTAGGATTTGTTGAGTACTTCATGCCTACCAAAAATCATATTAATCGGATATCAACAACTATATGATCGAATTACATATTATTTATGTTATTTCTCAAAATAAAACTTATTATTTATTTTTTTTGGTTATTGATCATATAGTTGTTGATATCCGATTAATATGATTTTTGGTATGCATGAAATACTCAACAAATCTTACAAAATAGACGATTTGAATAATAAAAATAAGATCATAATACACTTCAAATGGATGCACCACAGTCACTGCTGTGCCTCACGCACAGCAGTGACCCTTATCGTATGTTAGACTATTCCCACGAAGAGTAATGTTAGGTTTTTAAAAAAATATCATAAAAACTGCACACTTTCTAAATAGAAATCTATTTGTTAGGGGGGGTGTAGGATAGGACCCACAAATATTCGGAAACGCCGCAAGCACCGCCGATCATATGCGGCGAACCGATTCCCACTTTTATTGGCAGATAGGGCAGCCAGTTGCCACGTTTTCTTGCCCACATCACCACTTGTCTAATGCACGATTCTCCTTGTACCTATCAATTCTCTCTTCCAATTATCAAAATACGGTTCTAATTCTGTTTATTTATTTATTTATTTTTAAATACGATTTTAATTATCTAAATTCAATTTTTAGAAATTTTTTGTTTTTTAGTTTTGTATTTTTTTTATTTTAATAAAATAATTTTAATATTTTAAATAATTTTTTTTACTTTTTAAATGTATCTAATTTACATATATTTAAAAAGTAAAATATTTATAAAAAATATTTAAAATATCAATAAATACATAAGAATACGAAAATATACTGAATTTTTATTTTTTTCATATATTTTTAGTATTTAGTGAATTTTTTGAAGATT